GGGGGGGAAGTGTGTGTGTTTTTTTAGAGAAACATTACCCAATTAGACAAGCAGAGGTGTTGAAAAGTGGCCGAGTTAGTTATAATTATTATTGATAAAAACAAACAAACAAACGAACAAAAATGTCTTGAAATGTACCATGGCTTAACTCACTGGATCGAACTTTTAATTAGTCTTATTTATTCGCAAACTTTTTTTAAAAGGTCCCAAAAATGTTTAAAATCTGAAAATCACCTTTTCTTTTAAAGCGGTGAATAATTGGAGTTGTACGGTTATAACTCTTTGATTGGATTTCGTGTTGGTCTGTAGAAGGCATGTATAACAAACTAAACATTTTACATCTGCACCAAACAAATCTGTGCGCCACGCTACCTCAGAATTGCAAGGTTCTATCTGACATTTTTAGCCGTTTTGGGTTATTTAGAACATGTGGTCAGAAAGCAAATAATACTCTATCAAAATCGTAAGATTATTCGGAGTCGTCTTCGAGATATTCAAAGAATTGCATTCGAAAAAGTTTGACATATTTATTGTGAAACTCAAACATTTTTACGTCAATGTTCTCAAAACTCGGTACTGAGCAGATAGAACTTTGTAATTCTGAGGTAGATGCTAGGAACTGGGATAATATGTTCATCCCTTAAATTGATCATTCTGTCAGCTGATCCTAACATGAGAGAAGACAATATATATATATTTTTTTATTACTGACACTAATCCGCCAGCCATGGTGCATTTCTCTTTGACGTCATCAAATCATGAGTTACACGTAAAAGGTGTTAGTAAAACAACAGAACATACCGCCATTGCATGCAAATTAGGGAACAACCCATTTGAGTTGTCTTTCTTTTTCGCCCCAGTCTGAAATGGTAAGGCAGATGGATCAGACATACGGACAGTTTGCACTGTTCAAAAATTCACCCAAACACCCGGATTAAAAGAAAAAAACCAAAAAATAAAAAATAAAAACCCAAAACCAAGCCCCAAAATTAATAATGATGTTGAAGTGAAACGGATGCCTCCTACCTATCCGCAAGTGGCAGGGGTTTACATTATGTTTATGGTTAGGCTCTCGGACTCGCAACCGCAAGGTCGTGGGTTCGAATCCCGTCAGGGGCCCGACGTTGTGTCCCTGGGAAAGGCACTTTACTTTATATGAATTTTCCTCACTTCACCCAGGTGGGAATGGGTATCCAGCTTTAGACAGCGGAAGATCTTGTTAGTTTGTTACTGTTTGAGCGCTTAATCTTGCACTGTATGCTTCCCGAGAAGCCGAGAATGTTTCTGAGTGTTCTATTGTCTGCTGTGGTAATAATATAGTGTTATACGGGGTGCCCACTACGGATGGGATCGGCCGATCGGGCCGATCGCCCGATTTGATCGCATCATAAACAAATGTGGTTTTTTTCAGTTTCAGGCGATCGAGTCGGGCGATCGGTCCGATCCAGCCGTAGTGGCACCCCGTATAAAGAGCTTAGAGCTTGCTGTCGAGAGGGAATATGCACTATACAAATGCTATTTGTTACTATTATTGTCATTATTATTATTATTATTATTATATAAAAATGAATATTCACCTATTTGTACGGGTATCTTTGTTTAATAAACACCCATGTTTACACGCCAGTGCATTATTTACAGTGATATATTATCATGCTTTCTTGGGCGAATTTGCTCAGGGGGCTCTTGTGGTCTAGACGTTAAGGTGTTGGCCTCTCATTCAAAGGTCCCGGGTTCGAATCTGGGTAGCGACCGAACATTTTTTCTCGCTAAAATTGTCTCCTTTCACATCCTTTCCTGCTCTCTAGCAATGTTCTGTCGTCGGCTTTCGACCCCTCTTTCGGCCCCCACCCCCTCACCTCCTTTGCCCCCTCCTCTGGGTGAAAATGGTGAAATGGTATGGGTTTAACACCCCTATCAACACTATTAGGTTATTTAAGGGGCGGCCCCTCCTCTGGGCTCCTGACGCTTTCTGCAGCCTTTGTACTATTCCTCCTTGGCTCCTCCTTACTGCTGTCTTTCTGCCACACCCCTGGTCTTCTTGTAGGAAAGATCTACACCTAGCCTTCTCGGACAAGGGCGAAAAATCTCGAAGGGCCCGTGTGCAAGTCGCGCACGTTAAAAATCCCTTGGTGTTCTACAATCAATAAGAGTAGGCTTCGGCCGACACCGGGGCAAAATTCAAAATTTCCTACCTACTGAAAAAGTTTAATGAGCCCCGCGCGCTCATATGACTTTATGCAGTTGCGAGGGCCGTCAAAAAAACTGACCAAAAGCAAAACAAAAAAAAGGAAATCGCTCCAAATGTAGCAGCTACGTATTTATCTACTTCTGCTTCCGCTTCACTTCAAAAGCGCAGCCAAAGATTGACCAGAAAAGTTGAGTTTAAAAAATAGAGAAACAAATTATGCTCACAAATGCTGACGAAAAAATTTTGATTTTCCTTTTTCTTTTAACGTATGAGATTTTGTTTGACTCGTTTATTCTCATGCATATATGTTTAGATATTCATATTCACATATTTTCCCCTGTATGTAGGAAATATACACACCGACAGATATATATAGAGACAGACAGACAGACAGAGAGACAAACTGACAGACAGACAGGTAGGCAGACATTCAGAGATTTATACACAGATATATAGATACATGGATACATAGATAGATAGATGGATAGATAGATACATATAAAGATACATAGATGGATAGGTAGATAGATACATACTTAGATAGATAAATAGATACATAGATAGATAGCTACATAAATAGATAGATACATAGATACATGGACAGATACATCCTTAAACAGATAGATAGATAGATAGATAGATAGATAGATAGATAGATAGATAGATAGATAGAGTCATCAATCTTGTGGCTACGATTTTCCACACAGACAAAACATGTTAGGACGAGAACCTAACAGCTACCAAGTCAAACACCTCAGTTATAGAATCAGGTCCCCCCCACCCACCCCCACCCCAATCTCTAACATAGTTTATTCTGCTCATTCCCCTACTTCCACCATCCCCTACTCCTCCTTCCTCCTTTCATACTCCCCCTATTCTCCCAATCTCCTTTCTTCTCCTTCTCCCATACTCACCTCCTTCTCCCAATCCCTACGTACCCTCCCACTCCTCCTTCTTCCAACCAGCTTCCTACTCCCATCCCCCTCCTCCTACCCCTCCTTGTTCTCTAATTATACATACCCACTCAAACGTCACCCCCTTTTCTTATCTATATCATCCCCATGCTTCTTTCTTCCTCTTCAGTACGCCCCAACTCTTTGGTTGCACAATTTCTAGATCACATTAACAAGCACCCATTATATTATATTAATTGGAAATAACAAATTACGTCACCGTTTATGAAAACTTATAAGAGAACAATTCAGTATAGAGTATAGAAAGAGCTGAATTTGTAGTACCATTAATTCTTACAGACAAGTTATTGGCTGTCATAATTTATTTTAAAAAGAAAGAAGAGAAATCACCCTAAAAAAAATTAAAAAAAATAAAAAAAGAAACCGTCAGACATGCAACAAGGAACAAACATGCGCGCTACATACAAGATTCCCGGGGTTAGTATCCACGCTACCAAATGACGTCATCAAACCTTGGACCGCTCCCGAGTGGTCGAGCAGCGAGTCCACAGAGGTAGTCCCAGATTTGTTGCGGGGAGCCGACCAAAAGGTAGCATTGGGCACAAGTGGCTGCCTCTCCCCAGATATAGCTGGTGGTTGCTGCCAGTGGTTTCTGTGTTAGCGCAAGGGGTTATTGTGGGGGTTAATCTAAGAACAGTAAGGGGTTAATTCTGGGGTTATTCTGGACTGTGTAGGGGTTAATTGTGGGGGTTATTCTAAGACGTTTAAGGGTTAATTGTGGGTTTATTCTAGAATAAACAGTTCCCACCATAGCTATCATTTTGACTATGGTCTTCAGAAAGCATTAGTAGCAAGAGAATTAGTGTGATGATGATGATGATGATGATGATGATGATGATGATGATGATGACGATGACGATGATGATGAGGAGGAGGATTAAGATGACGATGATGGTGTTTTATAATGATGATAATAATGATGAAGATGATGATGATGACGATGATGATCAGGATGTATTTTATAATGATGATGATGATAATATGTGTTTTATGATGATGATGATGATGATGATGATGATGATGATGATGATGATGATGATGATGATGATGATGATTACGATGATGACGATGATGATGATGTGATGATCCAGCCGTACCTGGGTGGAGTTTCTTTCTCGGGACTGTCGTCTGGTCCCAGGTACACTCCCCCAAACGGGTCGTCTTCGCCGGCTACTTCCTCCTCTGCAGGGGGCGGGATGGTGAGAGAGCTCTTTCTGGCGCTCACTCTGGATACGGGGTGGGGGGG